CTTGCCGTTCAGACTCTTCTAGGCGTTGTTGATCCAGCATAGCATCTCGGTCATTTTCTAGTGTATAGAAGATGGTATGGAAGCTTCTCTTGGCAGCTTCCTCAGTTGCCTTCTTGTCTTCCTCCAACTTCTTCCGAATATCTTCCAACGTCTCTTTCTTCGTCTCTTTCGAGACTTCACCGCCTGCCGATGTCGTGCCACTCGTATAGCGACTTAAGGGAGGAGGAGCACTAGATTCCTGGGAAGGGGTGAGCGGTTTAGGCTTTGGCGGCGATGGAGCATCATCATCATCATCATCGTCGTCATAGTCATCGTAGTCATCATCATCCAGCTTCCTCGCGGGTTTCTTAGCGGGGACCGGAGGAGGTGCGGGTTCATCAGCGCGCTCATTCTTGGTGTTGGGCTCATCAGCGTCCGCGACGGCGGCGCCGACGAGGTCCTCCACATTTTTCTGGCCAGCAAATAGGTTATTTATTTTCGCCTCACTGCGTCTGTATAGATCGCGAAATATGGCAATGCGTGGGTCTTCCTCGGCTGCCATATCAGCCTCCGATATCAGATTACCCGCGTGAGACCCATCAGCGTCGACCGAGGCGCGCATTTGGGGCGTCCTGGGGCCGGAAAATGATTTCGAGTAGCCATTGATTGACCGCGAATCGTGATGATCATCGGGAGGCCGAAGATGTCCTGGCGGCAACCATGTGTGGTGGTGTCCGAGCGACATGCTCGCTCCAAGACCCCGGTTCTGGGGCGGGCGAGGGGGCTCGTTTCTCCACGGTTAAATTCAGGTGTGGAGAGGCAGCAACAAGGCGGCTGGAGTGACGGGAAAAAACATAGAGACAAACTAGGAGGTGCAGAGAAGAGGAAGGAGATAATCTCCGACCCAAAAACGATGGGACGGGCGGAGATTTTGATGGGGAAGTGAACGGCTTCTGTACGAGGTTCTCTGCGCGAACGGATGAAGTGAAGTCGATCCCGTGAAGGCGGAACGGTTGCCGCAGCCTTCAGACCAACCGCGCAGTTCTCTAGAGAGTGATCAACGGTTTTCTTATCCGGTATAATTATATTGGGATGGAAATGCGTAGTATATAGTGGTGTATAATTTAATATCTTAGTTGGTGAACTCCCCACATCCGGTGGACTCGAGATTGGATGGTGGTGACAATGAATCACGAGAAGGTACTTTTTTTCATTGTTGCAGGTGTTCTGATATCTGATTCCCCATCCGATCTGATGTTCTCTCAGTTAAAGCACATGACGCACCCGGAATCATTATCGCTACTCTTTCTCAACCACAACTTCTCTCCGCACGCTTCCCTGACCACCACACAATCATCATGCGGATCCGCTATCCTTTCGCGGGTATGTTACCTCTATTGACCAGATTCGCAGCTTCCTCTTCCTCTCCCAGGAAACCATCATAGACATTCGTCCTACATCGTCAGTCACTGACTTATCCGAAACTCCGCAGGCGCCTTCGTCTTCCTCTTGCTCTTGGCTGCTTATATCGGTCTTCTCCCCCACAGTGCATCTCCAAGCGTTCCATCGCAACTACAACCCAATGACAAGTTTCTCCATGTCGTGACGTTCTTCCTGCTGTCTCTCATCTTCTACTGGATTCCCGACACCACCCGCCGACGCATGCTACAATTGACCTTAATTGTCTGCACCGCCATTCTGGGAATTGGCTCCGAGATTGTCCAAGGGATCCTCCCCAATGGTCGCTCGTTCGACCCGTTCGACCTCCTCGCCAACATAGTGGGCAGTCTCGGCGCAGTCGGCCTGTGCAGTTGGTACCACCGGCGGATGCTGGAAAGACGGCGCAAAGCCCGTTTCGGAGCTCTTGGAGACGCCACAGATGACGTTGAGCTCGGTGTCGGCCCCGGTCATGGTGAGACCGACCATGAGCAGGAGGGTTTAGGGCCCCAGGAATCGGGGGTCACGAACCTGGAGCGTGAGGTCGACAATTGGGATGAGAATGCCGTCGATAACTGGGATTCGGATGACGGTGCGAACGAGCCCTCCGGTTTGGTCGGAGAGGGCTCGAAATCCTCCCCGCCTGCCGCCAATGGGGACAAAGGAGAGGGGAAGAAACGAAGTGACTGATTTGATTTACACTGAGATCTAAATCCAATCGCCATAAAACATACCTGGTCGTTGCTACAGTGGAGACCAAAACCCTCACGCCATTGCCATCCTTACCAATGTCACCGTATCCTTACCCTATCCCTCATGACTGATCTGTTCTACCGATTTATCCATCATGTTTTACGCCCTCCTTCAAGCAATATCCCAACTCGTTATTGCTATGTTGCTCAGCTTGTTTGACGATTAATTTGCAGGATATAACACTCTTTACGATCTTGAACTTGATTATCTCATTTTGTGGATTTGCGGTCCATCTTCATACATTAAGTCTCGACTTTCTGGCGTGTTCTTTTTATCAGGGACTTCCGGCGTTGTAAATAATGTCAAAAGCTTTGCGCTTTCTAGCATACGGAGCAGACTATCGCTGAAAGCAAATCCTATTATCTTACCCCTACACCAGTCTTCATGCTATAACCGTACAGCCTGGTAAATTTATACAGTGAAGAATAAAAATAGTGAAACAGAGCTTGAAGCATTTCGTATAGGACTCTCAGTACCGTGTAACGTGGAACTGAACCATAAACAGTGGCCGTCATGCTCCCACACAAGACTCTAGCAAACACATGAGGACATGAGTGTCGTAAAATGAATATTCAAACATGGCAAAAGGTTATGCAATAAAGTGCAAAAGAAAAGGCGTGAACCCGAATGCAAGTCAGGAACTCATGGTTCGTCGTGAATGCTGCAACTTGGGAAACAGATGAGAAAGCTATTAAGAGAACTATATATATATGTATAACAGTGAAAAATGGCCCTGCCATAGCCTGGTGATTTGCCTGCAATGTGACGCAATGAAAACAGGAGCGAGAAAACCATTATTCGTGGTCGGAGACTTCTGGGGTTCCCGACCAGCTTCTGGTTGGTGTGGAGGCACGATCCGAGACAGGCTCCAGCTCTGGTTTCGAGGAAGGCAGGTAGTAGGACTCGGTAGATAACTTGGCCATTTTCGAAGATCGCTCATCGGACTTTCGCCCGTTGACTTCAGGGACCTTCCCAAGCTTCCGATCGATTTGCTCTCGCAAGACCTCGTAGATAAACTGCAGCTGCATCTCATTGTAAACCATCATCATTCTCTGTTCGCGCATTTGGTTGACCGTTTCAAAAACTGGGTCAACCTCTGGGTCAGTGACTTGCAACCATTGGTCAGATTGAAGCTCCAATAGGAGATGATCGAGGGCAATGAAAGTGCCTGTTCGGCCGACACCAGCACTACAGTGCACAATACGTGGATTATCCCAGGAGCTCTTGGAGCCCGTTTGCTCAATCAAATGAAGAAGTGCGCTGCGGTCGTCGCCTTCAGGCTTGGAATAGTCCGCCCAACCAGCAAAGAGGAAATGCCAAACGATCTTCGATTCGGCACCCCAAGTGAGTCGCAGCTTGCGGATTTCGGAACGAGACTTCTCGTCAAAAGTGGTCTCTAGCAGCGCAACCGTGCCCACGACGTTTTCATCTCCGATGGGGTGGTTCTCGTTGTTCACAAATGGGTCACGTTCGTCTTCCCGCAGTAGGATCAAGGAATTATCGCTATTGAGAGGGAAATACTGAGAGCATTTTTCTCGTCCAGACTCAAATGTTTGAGTAAGCATAACGATGACCCCCACTTCCTTCGTTTCATGGAATACCATGTGCCAGAAGTGGGATATATTTCCTGCTTTCGGTCCCTGAAAGTGAGTGGTTAGAAAGCACACTTCTTTACCAGCACGCGGCATGCTCACCTGCGTTGCAATATACCTTCTCTCCTCCTGGGACACAGAATCCCTCAGAGTAATCGGCGAGGCATTGATGAAATCACACTCGCCATCGTTTACGCGAAGATGGATACGACAATTTGCCCACGCCTGCACATTCATATATCGGTTCCTTGCCTTGACCTCTGGATCGGCCTCCAGTGCCCAACGATGGGAGGGGTCGTTGGCGAGCATACCTTCTGCGAGACGTGTCCGCTGTATCCACTCTAGGTCCTCGAATTTTTGATGGATCTCTGGAAAACGAAACGGTCATCTGATTAGCCCTACTGCAACATGACCGACGAACATGCGGAGTGGTGGGAACAGGAGTGAACCAACCTAGGACGGACTGGCAGAGAAAAGGTGGGACGGAGTCAGTATCGCCAGCCTCCAGACCCGGGCCATCCTGATCAGGGCTGTCCAAGACCTCGAAGCCTTCATCATTGTCCTCGGGAAGGGAGCGCTTGGTCGCTTGGACGTTTGTGTCGATCTTGATGGTGGGATGAGCCATTTTGGCCGCAGCTATCCTTTGGAAGGCCCGAACCTTGCCCAGGACGCCGCGCGCCTTTCTTGAGACCCGCTTCTTAGTCGACACAAGCTTTCGGGGTCCGGAGCGGAGGCTGAAGGCGTCGGGCGATGTAGAGCGGGATGGTGGTGCAGTAACAAGTTCCCCCTCAATGCCGGACGGATCGTCGTTCGCGCCGTTCGGCGGTTGCGGCAGGGATGATATCTGTAGCGTGGACAGATCGGGACAGCTGTGGAAGCTGCCCCTCGTCGTGATTTGCTTGGCCAGATTTTTAGATCTTACCGGAGCAAATCGCTGCCAAATCTTAGTGGGCGGATATCGGCGAAGTCGGAGACCAACGACGTTGAAACTCAAGACACCGCGCAGTGTCGATAACGGTCACTCTCGCTGAAGGCAGAAAGGACGATGTGGTTGATGTGAATAATTATTGAAAAACCCACAGAATCCCAGGGCGTAAGACAGACAGAACGAGAGGCACAATGTCAATAGAGAAAAAAAAAAGAAAAGAAAAAAAGAAAATAAATAAATAAAAATTAAAAAATATAGAGATATTAAATGCCTCCCGCAACAGGGACAAAAGAAAATTAAGAAAAAAAAACTGTTATTCCCCCGCACTTCTATATGTGAAGGACGTGCCAGCAGTCCGGGATAGGGAGAAGGAAATAATAGGCGGCAATTGTCGGGATTAATGTAACAATCAGGTCAAGTTCTGCAGATGATTGGAGAAGTTCAAGACAGCAAAGAACGAAAGAAAGAATCGAGAAAGTTTCCAGGAAATCACGGTAGGGGCTCAATGAGAATGGAATTGTCGGCGTGACTATCGACGGTGATGTAATTTGAAGAAAGGATAAATTGATACCTACAATAGTAGAATCTTGTAATATTGGGGAGGAAAAGGGAAAAAAGGTAAAGAAAAAGGAAAAGAAAAAGGAAAAGAAAAAGATATATGATCAGAGAGGAGTGGTCATAGTAAAATACAATCAAAATAAAATTAAACTTGTTGTACAGGAGAAGTTCTGGAGAATTTTTCTACAAGACGATCAGGTCCATAGATCTACCTAAAAAAGTAATGATAACACATTCCACGTTTAATTCCTGCCGTTGCACGACTTCGTCAATTACTTGCCACAAAATTAAACCCGGGCAGGTGGACTGAAACCGTCGCTTTTGACTGGCTGCAGGTCATCTGTTGTGGCACAGCTAAAGGCTTGACTTGGGAAAGGCCACTTTCTGACTAGTCTTCTTTCCGTTTCTCTGACAGCACACCTGAAAAACCTCCTCGGCTTTTATTCCTCCTCCCTCTTTTCTGTTTTCTTCCTTCGGCTCCTGAGGCATGTGGTCTCGTTGCTCATCAGCTACCATCGACATTCTCCGTACATTTGCCTCCTGTGATTACTAGGTACTAACAGCTCATTCGCAAGATGGTGTTCCGAATGTTCTGGCTCCGGACTTTCGAGGTACGTAATCGCGTTGTTCCAGACCAGCTTCCTTTCTACTGCCATCCTCGATATCATCCATGACTGACTCATTCCCCTCCAATTAGGTTTGGCTCACTGCTCGGGTATGCACATCCACACGCAATTGCCTACGCGCGAGTTTCGTGCTGATATTCTCTCGTATAGCTGCTCTCCAGCCCAGCGTTTCACAGACTTGTGGGGCGAGTCCATCAAAAAGTCCAACATCTGAGACATGGGGTACCTCCCGAAGAAATGGGAGGTACTCATAGAGACAATCATGGTATGGCCATCATGTGCTTACAGGATGAAATGTACATGTGTTGAGCCGATGCTGATGGCATCTCTAGGACCCGGTTTGAGCAAGTTCGTCGAATACTTTAAGGAAGAGATCAAAGACCAGCTCAAGGGAAAACCACCGAATAAGTTCTAATGATGGGCTTTGGTATATGTTTTCGATCATTCCCCAAGCTTCGTGTACGATTATGACTACTATGATACCCAATTTAGTTTCTCTTCTTTATTCTCTGTCTTCTGTCTTTTTCCTTTTTTCCCCCTTCCATTATCGTTGTTGATCTCATACTTTTGGATTTCAAACCCTTGTATGACCGGATATCGATTGGGCTGTAACTCTTCTGCACCGTGAGCTACATCCCTCATTCCATCCGGAGATCAAACCTCAACCGCTCCATCCGCTTTGCCTATCTGGTTCTGTCAATGGTCTAGCTCGGCTTTGAAAGTTGGAAGCGTACATATCAATAGAATGCAATACCTAAAAGGCTTCTTCAATCGGAATACTATTCTTTTTGATCCTAGAACCAGTGTTTATCTGATGTAAGGGCTGTAAGCCAAGCATGTTAATGAATCGCGGGCAATATGCGTACCCGAAGAGATACAGACTCGGCTTCGAGTAACAGCTAGCAGGCATGCATCTGCATGTGCATGCACTGACTTTTAGGTTATTATGCTTTTTTATGCTCAAGACTTAAGCTATACATGATCATAAACATGTCACAAGTCACCACATCATCTCTTATGGCTGATGTTGGTGATGGATTCTGCGTGGCTACAACAAGTGGAGTCAACCCAACATAGACAAGTTCCAGAACAATGAATAACGGCCCTTGGTAGCGCAATTGCTGCCAGGAATACGCAGCCTTCCGAGCCTCCGAAATATAACCTCTCCACCTGTTATATGACAAGTAGCTACCAAATAACGGCAACTCCCTAAGGATATGATCGAGCTTCTTTGCGAACAAAGGCACGTTACCACTCTATTCCTCGACTGATTTCCTGAAACCAAGCTAGACTTTCCCCTCAATCCTGCAGTAGGCATTCTGCGAGGGTGTTGGTGCCGCATTTGCTGGAAATGTGAAGCATGGCATTGACATCCATCTAAAACGCTCCTTCCTCTCTGCCATGTAGCCGTTGTGTATTTGTCTCTGCGTTGTAAATCTATTGTACTTTCTAGAACCGGGACGGTCATTCATCCACCTCCTGGAACCAGTAAGGCTGGGGAGTCCCTGGGCACCCGGGCTAGCCGAGGGTTACCGGACAGGGGATAATACAGGGCTTCCATGATCTAGTCACGTATACCAGTTGTATGACAAGATGATATTAGTTATGTATATCAGTAGACGGGCCGTCATACGAACAGTGGCGTCGAATAATCTCAGTCATGTCCGAGCATCACGCCGGTAGATCTGGAATCACCTCGAATGTTTATGAACCTGCATGACACTCGCCTCCACAACAGAATGGCTCCTCGTACTCCGTACTGGGAGCCACCTCCCGTCGAGTCATGTGAGTGGTACACACTAGATGTGAATTACTAATGTATGTCAGTGGCTCGTACGGAGCATATGTACTCCGTACCCTGAGTATTATGACACACAGTCAGTACGCCTGATTTGGTTAGTACGTTTACTCGAAGTGACGAGCAAATGGTAGTATGGCAGCAGCAGTAGAAGAAGTGGGCGGTGGTCCAGAACTTCAGGATCTAGAACTTATCACCTGCTGTCGATCGTCACACCCTGCATCGTTGGAAGAGGTGTTGGATGATGCAGCCGTGCACAGCCATACACAGAGTCAGAAGGTCCTGTATACTGAACTTACGAGTAGTAAACAATTCAGTGCAAAGGACAACGAGATTACAAATCCTTCCGATCTTCCTTCGGGTGGTCAAGCCAACAGACCAACACTTAATACATAAGATTTGCTAGGGCTTGAATGTCTCAACTGAAGACGATCGGCGTTTACCCGGTCGGCAGTACCGGCACTACACAGTAGACAAGAGATGGGCCTAAAGGAAAATGGGGAACTCATTAGAAAGCCCGAGGATGTTCCGTCTTGTATTGCTGGTGCTGTTGGAATCCTCGGATAGACACGGCACCTAAATGAGCGACGAAGAAAATTCTTGAGTCGGTAGGGAGAGATTCATGTTGGGGTACGGAGAAAGGTAAAGGTGATTTGTTTGTGTTTTTCCTATGTAACATTACCTAAAGAACCATGGGTGCATAAATGATTAAACAACTCAGCAGCCAGGTGTCCTGTGGTTTCTGGGCAGGCGTACCGTGGAACGTTCCTTAAAATAGCACAGTTTTTCTATTGATTGCATTTGAATCAGTTTTCAGGAAGATCATCTCACCCAGGATTTTCCACTTATGCCGTCTGTATGTACGATGTTACCCCATCCGTAAACCAACACTGACAGCTGACGAGCTAAGAAGGAAACGGTCGTATGGACTAATGGCGATAGCGAAGGATAGCGGAGCCAAACAGAGTTTCTGCCCCGAGAGGTCAGGCACACAGTCCCAGCGATCCAATTTTCTCCTGGCTAGAATGTCTCAGCCCGCATTTACTGACTGGCCAGTGGGGGGGGCTTAGTCTTCCAGGTTGACACTAGCGCCCACCCACATCGGGCATCGTTGCTGGTATTGGTGCATTGGTCCGCCTTTTCGGTAAAATCCTAGTTCAATCAGACCTCACTAACCGTGTGTGGTATGGAACAAGGGCAAAAAAAGAGAAAAGAGAAAAGAATGAGGACTAGCGTCCCTCGCACCCAAGCCGACACATGATGAGAGGGTGATTAGCCGGAGGAACCAGTCAGAGTGGGACCGCGCGCTCTTCCCTTTCTTCAATGAGCCTTCCGTCTCTCCAATCCTTTTTCATCTTTATCCCGCCGCCTCCTTACACTCTTTTCTCTTCTCGTACCTACATCGTGCCTCTCATACGTATATCTATCTAGTCTTTCGTTAACCCCTCCTACATCTGCAGTTCACCGAGTTTCCCCTCTTGATACGTACGATCGTTTTTTTTTTTTTATCCTTCCTCCTGCCACCTCCCATACCCTCGTTGGAAGTCTCCGGAGTATCTGTCAGTCATACAGTCACGAGATTGAACCGCCTTGTTCTTTCGCTTCATCCCCTCCGGACCTTTGAATTGAGACTACTTTGATTGATTCCATCCCACATCACCCGCCCATCATGCGAGTGTCGAGTCTTTCGTTCCTCTTATACTCGTTGTCCCTGTTGGCCGCTGTCTCCGGTCAGAGCGTAGCGGTCACGGGCGGAGATGTCGCTACTTCTAAGGATGCCGCACCTACCAAGACAGATCCAACCACGACATCCACATCGTCGACATCATCAACTTCTTCATCTTCGTCTGAGTCTACAGAAAGCACTTCGACAACTAGTGACACCAAGCCAACGAGCACCAAGTCTGACCCCACAACAACATCAGACTCGTCATCTTCCACCACAGACCCCCCTAAAACCTCGGCCGACCAGCGACGAAAACTTCAGCATCAAGCACTAGCGAACCTACAACAGATAACAACAGCGACAGCAACTCCAAAACTTCAGCAGACAACAGCTCGCAAACTTCCCAAACTCCTGTTGTGAAGACTCTTACTACTGTCCAGACGGTCAGTGGAACACCTGTTCACACCACGCTTACCACCACCTCGTCCGCTCCGGTCGGCGCGACGGACTCTCCTTCCCTGAACGGGGAAGAGAAGGACTCGAAGAGCTCGGGCCTCTCTTCTAACCAAAAGAAGACCATCATTGGTGTCGTCGTTGGTGTAGGTGGTGCAATTTTAATCGGTGCTCTTGGTGTGGTTGCCTGGAGAATTCATGCACGCAAGCGTAATGGCCACGACAACGACGAAGCTACAGACCTCATGAGCGGTACTGCTGTCGGCTCCGGCGTTCGAGAGAAGGCTCCCAGCCCCGGGCTGCTGGAACGCCTTTCAAGAGCACTTTGGACCAATACCATAACCCCGGTCCTGTCAACGCCGCATCGAATTTCTAAATGAGCCAGGTTCTTGTCACTCCCCGGCGGTTTTAACGTGACAGCTTTCTTTGATCGTACCTGGCCCTTTCCATATAGATGTGGGCATGGTACATGATGGTCCAGTGATTTCGACACTGTAGAGTTTGTATGAGTATTACGCAGTTATCATTGGCGCTTGTTGGTGAAGATACATTGGGTCTCTTTCTTCTTTTCTTTGGTATGCAACGTGTTCAATGTCCTTGTTGTTTGCATACTGTTCACATAGAACGCCTGTCATTCCTTCCCTAAGATCACGCTCCTTTCTACGTACAGCGGTTTGTTTTAGCATTCATGGTTGGTTTGTTGTCTTTGATTCCCCCGCTCGAAGCACTGGTTCTGCATAGAGATCCTGAGATGCGCGGTATCCTCCGTCTCATCGTCTCTTCTTTCTGTTCGATAGCTTGGTTGGACCATCGTCTGGCGATCCAACTAAACAAAAAAGCTTTTTTACCCGATATCTATGTATTTAATTGTCACAGAAACTAGCTCGAATGTGTTTTCTTCAGTACCACCTCGAAGCACTGGTTGTATATCGCGTGCGGATAATCATCGGAATAGTGCGACCGATGAAACACCAAAGGCCCCTTGTTAATAGAACACTTTAACCGCCATCTCTCCCATCCAGGCAAGGATTTGCCCCGTGTCGAATTGAAAACCTAATCTATGTAAATCCCCAGCCGCTGGACACGGAATATTTATATGCGGCGGAACAGTGTCCAGCAGATAATGATTGACCTTTACCCAATTAATATTATTACACAGCACTACCCACATTCGCGATGCTGCTACTTCTTTTAGTATCTGGGTGATCAAGTCCATGCCACAGGAGTAACAGCCCGAGACATGGCGCCTTCTATGACATTAATCCTCAGCGCTCTTTTTCTGATCCTTGACGCGAGCGCGCTCATCCCGGATCCAGTCGGGCTGGTATATGCGCCAGCCTCTATAGGCAAGCGTCAGGTAGTCGGTTATTCCTTTCATCATGATTAAAGCTAGACTCTCATACCTTGAATCTCTCATTAGACATTTACCGGAACACTAGGGGGTTCTACACCCGCTGTGAGTTCCATACTATTCTGACTTGTGAGATGTATCAATATTTACATGTCCCTAGGTCACAGACACGGGTGATCCTGAAAGGCCGTATGGCGTGGACGGCGACACGTTTGTAAGTCTCTATTGATCATTTTCCCATCATCGAATGATAAACAAGCTGATCTCTCATAGACGGATTATGAATCAGCAGCCTCGAGAAGGTAGTTCGCCTTGAGCTCCACGTCCCATGTTTCACTGTCCCACGTGGAATCCTTATCTAACTCGAGTCCATCCATCAGCTGCAACAACCAATTTAACTCTTGCCAAAAGGTCAGTATGGCATTGTGTCACTGACGAACGTTGCAGAAGTCTGTTAACTCGTACTCAGATAGCCAACACGGACCAGTCATCATCCTTCTCCCTCCAAGATTGTCAGGATCAGTTAAGTACGTTCGGCCTTAGCAGACCACCAACAATTCTTCTGACCTGCTGCTGAATAGACAGTTGCATGTCGACCGTATCATCTACGAGCGTAGCGTTACAAGGTGCTACCATAGCCTCTGCGCCGACAGCAACCAGCTCGACAACAGATGCGACCACTGTAACCGCGCAATTGGCCCAAACCACCATCCCATACGACTCAGAATTCGACCTCGTCTGCGATCTCTAAGGTGGTGATATACCAATTTGTTTAGCATGTAGCCAAGCGGCGTGATACCACATGGTCTGAATCGATGAATTATGTACTCCACGCATCCAAGCCCTTTGTAGCCAGCGTTGCAGCCTCAGGAATGCAATATGACCCTATCGGGACTAGTGCCCCGTGATGGCGTGTTGGGGACGCGCTCACGGATCGACGCTAAGAATCCCTCCAGCCCACCTGTCTTACGCGGTGGCTGGAGTTCAAGAACTCAAGCACGCGAGGACATTAGGAGCAAAGTAGCTCTTGACTCCACATAAACCATTAATTAGGCTTCCTCGCTCCCCCCAAATCCCGAAGTCCACTTCCATTGACACAATATCAACCCATCAAAAGCTGTACCTCGAGATTCGAGACGCGTACCGCCACCCACCATCTCCGAACCGGGGAACCACAACGCAGACTCCCTATACCTACACTGACTCCATCCTACGCGCAAACTACTGCCCATCATCCTTAGCATCATGTTCGCCGCACTTCCCCCCATGCAGCAGTTCAATTTCTCACAGTGCGCTACCGCGCCCGCACGTCCGTCTCCACTCTCACCTCGCAGTTCGCCGGCGCGCCCGATGGCCTCGCTATCCTCACCGTTCCACTTCCCCCCAGCTTCAGAAAGTCAACCCAACACACCCGTCACGTCAAGAACAGAGTCCAGGAATCTATTCTTCGGGTCTCCGATCTCCCCTTCGCCTTCAAAGGACGCGGACACGTCCTCCCGCTCCAAGACTTCGCCTACATATGCTCAGCGCTATGCAAGCACGATATCTAATCCGTTGAATAACGCGTCCAGAAACGGCACCGCTTCTTCGTCGCCGTCGGCGCGAGAAGCGAGACGCAATGTTTTCTTGAATCGGATCAAGCAAGGGCGCGACGATGCACGTTTTGCTAATAGGGGCGAGCAGCTGGTGTTGATGGAACATGTGGCGGAGCAGAAGAAGTGGGGTGAGTCGATGCGGAGGAGGACGGATGGCATTCTGCAGGGATACTTGAGGGATCTAGAAGAGGGTGTTGATGATGTGCTTGGTAGGCTTTCTTCTATGCTTGCCCTCTCCAAGAACCTTGTTGGTGGGATCATGACTAACCTGATCGTTTTCTTAGACGAGGCGGATATCCAGGCTCTGGATGAGTATCTGTCGCAGGAGCAGGCAATGGAGATGGAGTTGCTTGAGAATGTGGATATGCAGACGCCCTCTGGACAAGATAATGGCGGTGCATGGAAAGATCCAGGTTCATCGTTTAGTGATGAGGAGTACGAGGACATATTCATGGATTTAGCCGATCAGACAGCACTGAGTCAAGATATGGATATGTCGGGGTGAGAACACGGAGGATTACGATACTTCGGCACGACTTGGGAGGATATACAAGGAACTGGGTAATACATATGGGCTAGGTTGCGTTACGGCGTTCGGTTGGGTTGGTCGCTGGCCGTCCACATTTAATTTGTTTCGGGCCAACAGCCTTTGTATTTGTCTGTGATATACATGTCAAGATAGATAGCCTTGTGACATTTGGGCTAGTAAATAGGGTATCGAAATGATATATGTACAGAAGATGCCAACACCAGATGCATTTGAAGTGCCATAAGAGATGAGGTCTGCAATTGCAGCGAGACTGGGTAAATGTCACCGAAAGATCGGTAATTTCAGACGAGATCTTTATTGCTGGGTACAATCCGGCATCGGCATACCTCCGGGACCTTTGAGGTCTTGCCCAAACGGGTTCGCGACGAGTTCTTCCGGTGGACTTCCGGCAGCTTGCATCTGCACCAGATCAGTAAGCATAACCCAACAGACCCAGAACGAAAGGGATCACATACCTCCTGCATCTTCCCCCACACATACTCGCGACACTTAGCGTCTTCATCTGTGTAACCTGGCTCTTCAAACTTGGCCACAATCTGCGACGCAATAGTCGCCTGCTTCTCAAACCGCTCCATTTCCTCATCGGAGAACTTCTCCTTGCCCTTGTTCTCCACCAGCCAGGGCCCGAACTTCGCATCAAGCTCCTTCATCGGTTCATACAGCATTTCTTTGTTCGACAGCTGCTCCATCATCGCCGCAACCACATTCATCAGACCGCCGTCTTCCTCATCAGGATCTAAGCCGGTCGTCTGAAGAGCCTTAATCAGATTCGCCAACATATCATCCCCATCATCTTCTGACGCTGCAGCCGTAGCTTTATCTCCGGAATCCTTCATACGATTCATCGTCTGCTGAATAGCATCATTGAACGACTCAGGCGGTGCTCCAGCTCCAGCCCCACCAGACGAAGACCCAGCACTTCCAGTCGATGGCGCAGCAGCAGCTCCAGCGCTAGCATCCCCACCCTCTTCTTCAGCCATCACATCCGCCAAAAGCTGCTTGAGGAAGTCACCGGGCGGAATCCCGCTCTCCTCCAGTTGCTTCGTGAAGGCGTCCGCGCCCTGGTTGATGGTGTCTTCGAAACCCTTGTCGTCAGATGCCCCAGATTCCTTAGCAGCGTGGCCCATCATGCTCGCCATATCTTTTTCAAGCAGCTTCATGAAGCTTCTTCATCGAAATCGTTGGCTTCTGGTGCGGGCGCAGGTTGAGATGGAGCGCTGGGGGCGGGGGCGGGGGCGGGTTTGGGCTTATTGAAGTCGTCGAGGACATCTTTTGATAATCGTTGTTGAGATTTGATTCTATTTTGTTTGAAATTTGATGCTCAAAGCTTACCGTCCAATTCATCCAGGTCCGATTCATCGTCGTCATCATCATCAATTGCTTGTTTTGGTTGCTGAGGCTGCGCTTGTGGCTTGTCTGCAGATTGTGCCGGGGTTTCTGGGACAGCCGCTGCGGTCGTCGTCGCCGCCGCCGTGTTTACATTTTCTGCTGAAGTGGTAACGGGCGCAGACTCGTTCTGTTGGGGATCACCCGCATTAACGGGCGAGGCCGATGGGGTGGACATGATTCCGAAAAGGCGGGGGAGGGGAAGAGAAGCAGTGATGACTTGGGAGGGAATGCGTAGGCGATTGTAGTCGGCCCGTAATCGTTTCCGACGAGAGGTCTGAGAATTGAATAAACCGAGCAAAGGGGTTGTATGGAGAAGAGAAAGGAAAAGAGCCGACGGATGTTTTGTGACAGCCTGTGGAACAATAATTATCATGTGAATGAATAATCAGTTGATGGCGAGACCCTTTTTTGTGACTGGGCGGAGATGCCGAGCCAATGCCGATCGCCGCGGCTTTGACATTAATATGCATCCTTATGCAGTGCGACTGCTTGTACTGGCATTCAAACATGCATACACATATACATACATACATACATACATACACACTACTCTATCACTATGACATTCTTCCCACTCGATGCTCCCGAGCAATACCACTGCCTCATCTGCTCAGCTTCCTCCATCTTCCACTCCGTGATCTCAACATGAAGCCTATTCCGATGGAACAACTCGACCAGCTCCTGCGCCTGCGCAGTATCAGCCACCAAAGAGCCAACCAGCTTGATATCCTTATAGATGACCGTCTGATAAGACATGGTAATCCCCTTCTCAGGCTGACCCAAAAGCACCATGGTTCCATGTTTCCTGGTCAGAGCCGCCGCCAGCTCAAACGCAGCTGGATGATCCGTCGCAAGCACGGTGGCATCCAGCCCGGGGTAATCCGAGGAAATCATCCCGTTGATCTTGTCCAGGGACTTCTCAACTGGATCCGTAGCCAGAATCAAAACGTCGGGGCTATGCTCATAAGATGCTACTGCATCTAGAGCGGACTGCTTCACGTCGATTGCCGCCACCTTGTAGCCCTGTTATCATCCGGAACTGCTTAGCGAACTGGTCTGGAATACTAACAATGACGTCGAAAATAACCTTACCATGCACTTCGCAACCTGTGTCCCAAGATGGTCCAATCCACCGATCCCAACAATCCCAATCGACCCGCCCTCGGGGACGTCCGCACGAACAATCCCTCCATAGATACTAATACCGCACACATCAACGGCGCAGCAACCTTGAACTCCATGTCATCTGGGAGTTTGACCAAAAAGCGAGCGTCGCTGGAATATCAGCATAGCATTATTAGCAGAACTAGCTCGTTTGAGGGTATCTTGACACCTCACCACATACGCAACCATATACTCTGCCCAGCCGCCATCTGTCGTAATACCTTTCATTAGAGGCGCTTCGCAGTAGATCGGGAGACCCGCTTTACAATCCGCGCATTTGCCTACACAAGTTTATAGCAATTAGAGATAAACAGGAAAGTCAACTATAGAATTATCCTTGTGACTTACCACAGACGCTATCGAAATTGATACAACCCACTCTATCACCTCGCTGGAAGCCCGTAACCTCCGAGCCTACCTCTTCGATGACTCCGGCGGGCTCGTGGGATCCGATGAAGGGCAACGTTGTGTTAAATTCATTATTCAAGGCCATGAGGTCTGTATGACAGAACCCCGCGGCTTGGATGCGGACTAGAACCTGGTGTGGCTTTGCTTTGGGAACGGGCACTTCGGAGATATGGTAGGGTTCATTGTATTGTTGAATTTGGATGGCTTACATTGTTGTGGGTGCCATGAATGGGAACAAGTGATGCTTGGAGATTGTGGTTTAGGATAGATAAGTATTGACATTTACAGATTATAGAAATAAGGAAAGAAATCATGATCCAAAACTGGGGAATCTATGAGGTTCTTGTTAAATGGTTTACCCCAAGATGTGTTCCCCAATGTGGGGAAGCGTTTTTCCCCAAGTATCGTGGAGAGTCTATTATTCTCTACAGTCTGGACGAGCTTTTTAGAGCGCAATTGCACGTTGGCGTGCTTTGATGTACATCTAGCTTCTTGTAACTGGAAACCTGGCAATGCCTTGATCTGTCGAACTTTGAGCAGAATAAGAAACAAGGAATGTGAATCGCGATACTCTATTGATCGAAGCCAAGTATGTCGCGTTGGTGCTCTGGAATTGGTATATTGAGCTCTATGTGCTATGGAAGCTTTGATACATGCGAGCGTGACATCAATAAACTCGTCAAATAGTATGTGGTATCATTGACTAATTCCCATTGCTTGAAGGCAATGGAGAGAGGCATCAAAAAACTCGCCATACGATGGTTTGGAGTTCCGGTAATGCTTCCTCACTCTTGTCTGTGGAGACAGCGGATGAGGCGAACACGTCTTTGCCAGTAGACGCGTCGGGATGTCCTCGGTATCCTAGATGGCTAGCGCATCTAGTCCTGTGTACAGAGTTATGGAAATATAATATACAATCTAAGCAGACAGAACGGTCATCTCATCGTCAGAAGGCAGAATCAGCCAGTCCAGGCGTTCGCAGCTTCACGTCTATCCGCCGTGTTCATGAGCTTCAGAAGCCCGTCAACAGCATCTCCTCTTTGAGATGGTGTAACGGCCTGGTTCTCGGATTGGTTTCCTTCGATGTCATCCTGCTCATCGACTTCTCCCATGATTCTGTTGCGGCCGGTTCGCGACACGGTAGCTGGAGGACTGCTGAGCTGCATCAGAGACCCTGCTGTGTCTGTCCTGCAATGAGTTTGTGTAGGCGTTTTCATAGGATCTTGGGAACTATCATTCTCTGTCGATAAAGGAGGCGATGATAGTCCGAGAGGAATTGATGATGGTTCGGTTCTCGGCTTGAACTCGACGGCGGGTTGAAGAGCACGTGGTGTGATAGAGGAAGGCATGATGATGTCTTCGTCTTGTCGGTGCGGTGTCACCGCTTCCTTCTGGTGGCTGGGCGTGAGCGTCTCGGGGAGTGATAGACGCGGGAATTTGCGACTGTGGGCCTCTAGTTCTGACAGACGGCGATCAAATTGAGGATCTTTAACGTGGTGCATGGCATTCTGGATTCGGTTCCGAAGAAGGTTTGCTTTCTGTTCCGTGGGGTTAGACCGACATAGGAATATGGCAGATCAATTACACTGACTTGTTGGATAAATAATCTGCGTGTTTCAGGGTCTTCAGGGACAATTCGTGTTGAACCTGCTTCTCTTTCTTGTCTAGGGCTTCGAGCAAGCGGCGTGGCGTCTGCTGGTGACTGTTGTTTATCTGATTCCCGTGATGGTGCTACATGTAGCTCCGTCGCGTCTGTTTGTTGTTGGTCCGACTACCCCTGATAATCAGTCCCAATTCAAATCTAAAACTTTCAAAATGTCACTCGGAGTTTTCGCTCAGCTTACCCGATCATCATTGTGAGCTGTAGAGTGTGTGAGAGCTTCATTCTGCACGTCGTGTACCTCTTGTGTTTCCGCCCGAGACTCGTTATTTTGAGCCTGCACGTTGCCATTGTTCGCTTGGTCGTCCACTTGATCAATTGTGCGTTTCTGGCCAGCAAATAAAGGAGAGGGAAGGAGCTTTTTGGGAGAAGGTGGTTCGAGGAGCGAGCGTTTGCTGGGCGAAGCATCGGGCCGATGGTGAGCGGGTGACAGACACGCGTTGGCGGTCTTTTCACCGAGAACGCGCCTCCCGTCTTTGACGGGGCTGGGGTGCAGTGTAGTCGGGTACATTCCGGTGTATTGGGGGCGTTTAGAGAGGAAAGAGTAGTAACAGTAGGGTAGGTGGGAGAAACTTGGGGTTCAAGTAGGAACCCGTACGGAGAGCGGAAGAGAGATTAGGGCTTCAGAGGCAATTGTGGGAAGAGAAAGGTGTATTTTTGTGGCGTTGAGGGGTGTGGAAGGAAGAGAGTAAGAACGAGAGAATCAAGACGATATGAACAAGGTGAACACGACTTGTCCTCTCGGTCTTGCGAGGTAAGGTGGTAGTCGAGTTGTCGCGTGGGAGGTAGATCGCGTTGTAGTTTGGTGTATCTCGCGCTATTCCCAAGCCGTTTCGGAGGGAGACGTGACTTAGTTCCATTTTCCACCTCCCCGCGACGTGTGATATCCACTTTTCGCATATCCCCATGCAACTCCCTAACTTCTCTTCTTTCTTGCATTGTTATACATTACGGAAGATATGAGGGTAATTCTTTACATTCGCCCTCTTCTAGTAATCTACCAATGAATCTGGCACCATGACCACACGCAAACGCAGCGCCACGCCGCAACAACCACTGCAGATTTCCGCGTAGCGAAACTTCCTCAACCCCTCTAGATCCCAACTGTACAAGGATCTGAGACAATTAGGTCAGCATGTGCTACTTCAACGTGGAATGCGCAACATGTGGCCCTTCTGCCTTGAGCATTTCCGAGCAATGACTGGCATCTGACTACTGTGGGGAACCCTGGGATCACAACGTGAGACTTGTATAAGGTCTAGCGTAGAGAAATGTGCATGAATATGGACAGTACAAGCATATACGAGCTGTGGATATAACAAAACTCCCACGCGCGACTCTTCCCAGCCATCGAGTGGTCAACAAACACAAGTCATGCTGTTTGTGGTTCTGATCTCTGCCACTGCCCGCTTGGGTCTAGATCCGTCCTGCACGTGCCACTCAGCCCCACCGCCCAGGGACGGCATGCAAGAGATCAATAGTCAAGTTATTCAACAGTAGGTACTCGTAGATATAACTTGGAGTGTCCAATAAAGCTCCTATTGGCATGCCTTTTGGGATGGTACACATAGAAAGAACACTCGGATCTAATAAGCAAAAGAGGGGGGATGGAATCTTATACGAGACTGACTCCGAATCTATAGTAGAAAATTACACGAATATGTTACTGCTCCATCTCGCAAATAGATATACTCTCCTCTGCAATGACAAGCAGTAGTCCTTCGATGCTATAGTATATTATCATAACGCTCTCTCGAGTGAGTGGCTAGCATTATAGAACATATCAGCTAATTGTTTCCAATTAGAAGACCAGTCTCCAACAGCAAGACAAGGCCGTTGGCTATATATGTAAAGCGACGATTCGATAAGTGCATGTGCATTAGAGGACACACAATAAAGAATTCCAAAAGAAAAGAGATACTGAAATCTGAAAAGTTAATGATATAGTTACACTTAACAATATATCGATGGGTTCCCTTTACCAAGAGGGACATACTGGATCTATATTGATCAATTCCGAGTAATGACATCATCAACCTTTTACTGAGCTACTCCGAAGTACATAAAGGTCTACACAGTACATAGGAAGCGGAAACTATCAGTTGATCTATCCAATATGTTTACATGCCTGGATCGAATTCATCCTAAAACCGCCTTCCCCATATAGACCTTTCAAGGGCTACCTCTTACCCCGTGACAGCCCAAGTGCGAAAGCTTTCCCCGCATTTTGAGGTTCCAAAGAAACGCCAACTCAATGCACCATTAAATCCAACACTCTGTCTGACTATTGCGCCTATAGATCACCACCTCTATCCAACTTTCTTTCCTCGAGCTTTTACTACCTTGCATATTCTCATATAATTTTAGGATATCCAAGGTAGAGAATCGCCTACGTAGGGTAAATACTAGTTGGATTGGGGTAGATCATTACTGTTTGGGATCTTCTCTGACACTATTGCATCACAGGGTCTGCACGTGGTCGGTGCCTGCATACCTCTCACATCCCCTCTCTTGCCTCTGTGTTGCACTCTTTCTCTGGCTCACCCATCACCCGTGATCAACCCAACACCATCGTGATGCGTTTATCCTTTGCAGTACTGACAGCTGCCCTTCAGGCGGCAGTCAGTACGGCATCAACACTGACTCCGCCCGTCCTACCGCTGATTGTACGGAATCCTTACCTCAGCACTTGGTTCGGTAATGCTCGTGAGGCGCCGTGGTCCAAATGGCCCATGTTCTATACTGGAGAGGAGGTTGGCCTCTCCTTGATGGCACACGTTCCTAGTACGGGGACCGTGTATCCGTTGTTGGGCAAGCCCCATGAGTCCCTACCTTCTAATTCCGAGTAAGCATACTCGGAGCAATCAAGGAATTTTACCAATTTTTCTAACAACAACATAGTTCACCGGAGGTAGCGTTTCCAGTTTACCTGGGAGCTAACTACGATGCGTCTACCACTAACCTGACTTACCGCATTGACTTGGATACATCGGCTTCTACTCCGCTTGATATCACCATTTCTTTCCTGTCTCCCATTACGCCTACATCGACTCTGCGGCAGTCGATTCCGGCTTCGTATGTGACGATCCACGTCCATGGAGATGTGGGTGTCAACATTTATATGGATGTCAATGGCCGCTGGGTAAGCGGAGATGCGGGTAGCAAAATTACATGGCAATATGATGGTTTCGACACCAAAGGCAGCAAGCCTACTCTTCAGAGATGGCGGTTTAAGAGAGAAACAGAGCTGCTGCTATCAGAGATCCGCGACCGGGCAGAATGGGGTACCCTCCACTTTACTGGCCCTGCTGTTCGTGTCCCCTTGGATGAGCGTCACCGCGAATCCTAAATGTCACTGCTAACACTGAAATTAGGACGTTCAATTCCAATCTGGAGAAGCCTTGGCTGTGCGGCGAGGATTTGCCGCCGAGGGAGCCTTGCGTAACGAGAATGATGGCACTTTCCGTGCCGTCGGTGACCGAGAACCGGTCTTTGCGTTCTCTAAGTCTTTCACCCCCTCAAAGAAATCAGGGCCTGCTAGCGACAGCGTGACTTTCACCATTGCCCTAATCCAAGATCCGGTCGTTCAATATGCCTCCTCACGCGGGCTCACCTTGATGCGGCCTCTCTGGAGGTCCTGGTTCTCCAATGAAGAGGCCCTGCTCAGCTTTCATTATCATGATTTGGCAAATGCGGGCACGTTGGCCTCCGATTACTCGGAACAGCTGGCCCAGGATGCCTATCAGTCGGGGGCTTACGACTATGTGGATATCGTAGCGCTCTCAGCCCGACAGGTCATGGGAGCAACCACCTTTGCTGGGACACCTGAGAACCCAATTCTGTTCCTAAAGGAGATTTCTTCTAACGGTAACTTCCAAACTATCGACGTTATTTTCCCTTCATTCCCATTCTTCCTTTACACGAACCCACGATGGTTGGCCTATCTCCTCGAGCCACTGATTGAACATATGTCGAGTGGACAATACCCGAACAAGTACGCTATGCATGACCTTGGAACACACTTCCCCAATGCCACCGGTCACCCAGACGGCAACGATGAGTACATGCCTGTAGAGGAGTGTGGCAACATTCTCATCATGGGTTTGGCTGTTGTGAACTCCTTACGTTATTCTGTGGACTCGGCGGCGGCCTCCGTTTGGTCTACTCGAGGTACAGCCCCTCAAACATCCGACAAGAACTCAGGTTATTTCCCTCTGGATAACCTTCAAGCCCTGGGGGGAATTGATAAGCAAGACGGAAGATGGGGCGGTGGTGCCCAAGGCGAGCACTTGGCAGAGAAATGGGTTCAACGCAGTTACAAACTCTGGACCCAGTGGACCAGTTACCTGGTGGAGTTCTCTCTGGAGCCTGCTAACCAACGTAAGGACCCTTCTGTTTTTGCGGGAATAATGGGGGAACTGATGAATGTAGTTTCCACGGACGATTTCGCTGGCTGGCTTGCTCTTCAGACAAACCTTGCCCTTAAGGGCATCATCGGTATTAATGCTATGAGCAAGATAGCTGAAGTGGCTGGACACAAGTCGAATGCATCATATTATAAGGTTGGTATATTCAACAAGACTTGGGAGTGTGAATCCTCTGACACAAATACAGAATATCGCCGATACCTACATCGCGAAGTGGGAAGAATTTGGCATGTCTCGAGACGGCACGCACGCTAAACTTGCCTATGACTGGTATGGATCTTGGACTACGATTTATAACCTGTATGCAGATGCTCAGCTTTGCTTCCACCTGGAGGGCACCGATGTTTCCCCTGCACGTGGCAGTCAAAAGTCACTCCACCCACACTCCAGGAAGAGCGGATTCGTCCCACATCATATCTACCAGAAGCAGTCTATCTGGTACCACTACGTAAGGCAAAAGTACGGCCTTCCTTTGGACAGCCGCCATCTGTACACCAAGACGGACTGGGAGTTTTTCTCTATGGCTGTCGCCAGCGAGGACGTGCGAAGTGAGATCCTCGAGTCCGTCGCTAGATGGGTGAACGAAACGGTGACCGACTTGCCCTTCACGGATCTGCATAATACTGAAGGCAGGGGTGAGTTCCCAGGGCCAAACTTCTTTGCTCGGCCGGTGATCGGAGGTCATTTCGCGTTTTTAGCTCTTCAGCGTGCCTGCGAGGGTCGGGCAATGGAGGGCTTGGCTTTCCTTGACGGAAAGCCAGGCTTTGGAGATGACTCGGTTGCGTCCGCTGAGACGCTCAGCCAGTGGGAGGCCATGGCCGCTAAAGCGGCGGAGAAGTTCAGGTTTGGCGGGTATGAATCCGAGAGGGTAGAGTTGTAATCTTTGGATTCATGTATAGACCCTATATAGTTGGTGTATCTGAAAGGTTGGGAGGAGCTAGCTGAGTTTGAAGCGATGAAGCATAGCACCTTTGATTGCGACGTCCTCGGCTAAAGCTATGCTAACAGGCAAGAAGACACGTATAAATTTCCAAGGTCTACCGTAACTGCTCGCATGTTGATTGATCTCTCATCTTCCAGGCCCACTGTTCGTGGATCAGTATTGTTCCTATACTTAGCCACGACAATGCATCATAGATATTCTATGCTTCAAAAGATGGGAATCGAAAGTTTACGGCGTATACCTAATACAATACTACCTCAATGGGATCCAAAAGAGCTCTCTAGCAGACCTGAAGCGACATAGATATATTCTGATTGGATATCTCTTCCACCAAAGCTGGCGCCGCCACGGCGTCGAACTAGAGTCTGGGCTTTTGACGAGACTTCAACTACATGGGTCACTAGGAGATTGTTTGAGGCTAGTCAAGTATAATCGAAAAGCTGTGGGAACTTAGGTTTTATGCCTGTTGGCCCACGTTTCGTTTGTTTCAGGTCTTTTGAGACTCCTGATAATCCCTTGTCGTTCATGACTCGACCCGCATGTCTGGATATAGGTCCTTTTTCTATAAATAGGTTGTGGTGGAGGATCTGCTGAAATTCCGACAAGTTGGGTATCAACTCGGCGTGTTTCTGATGAGGCATGTGAAAGAACCAAACCTGAAGTTTGCCGACAGGACGAAGATACATGTTGATCAAGTCATGGCAGCCAACACGATGGGGATGAGGAGGAATCGAAGGTGGTAGAACAGAATGAATGTCACCTTCCATTTCGGGAAGTCACCTGCACAGACATATAAAACACGAGCAGCCTCAAGTTTCTTCGCATATGATCCACCAAATCCTCATCCACTAACAGTTGGTAACCAGTCAAACACCGTATCTTCCCCAATTATGAACACTCAACAAGAACCACCACAACACCCACCATGAGAGGACACCCACCTACCCTACCAGCTCCAGCAATAAGACAAGCCGAAACCAGTCCCAGAGAACGACCGACAGCTGAAATGCCGCATAATTTGCCAATCTAGGGACAACACCCGCACTGTCCATGTCCGTGCACATCAAGTGCACGCAGACAAACAAAGAAACTCACCCGGGGCCGGATTGGCTGCCTGGACTGAAGCTTTGTGCTCCAGCGGCCATCCCTGCACGCAATGGGCAAATATGCCGTGGCCAAATGCTCCCAACACGGCATGCTCATCCCCCTCCAATGGCCCCTGATTCGCTTCTTGCGTGATGAATCTGGACCCGCCCCATACCCGCGCAGCGTGGGTATGAGCCACCTATCCAACCGTCGAGGCGGCTCGGCTCATCACTAATCTTGTTGATGTCCTGCCTTGCTAGCCTTTGCGCAGGGAGGTTTGGCCTTTCGTTCGTTCATGTTTGCGTTTCGCTAGTGCTGAAATTGTACAACAACACGCGACAATGATAACGGCAGCCGGCCAATTTAAGCTTCAAACTCGAGCAGTCTAGACACGTTCTAGGTCTACTGGAGCCTCCTATCGCCAGAGCCCCCCACGTCAAGTGTCAAGTACTACCTCACAAACGGAGGGCAGACGAGTCGAGTATTCCGGATGGTGGTGGGCCGATACAACGTGATGAGCAACTGTTGGGGTCAAAGCATAGATACAGAGGCGCATGGCTAATATAGATGGATTAGTTGCGTTGTCGATTGGGATGTTGGCTCGGCCCGTCTCGAGCTTGGGGGCTGATAACCCTAATAGGATGTGTGGAGTTCTTCACCTGAATTCCTTTGGGGGAGGAGGACTTATGGTCCCTTTAACACGGATGGAGGAAAGAAGTATGTATGCTCTGTCCGAACGCATGCAAGCCATGAAGACCCTCTCCAACTATCGTGCAGCCAAACAAAGAAGAGTAAAAAAAGATAATTGCAATTGCCTCATCTCCATTCCTGCTCACCTTCCACAAGGATGACAATCACAAGCAAATCATAGATTCCAAGCCACTATGCATAACACCCGAAAAGAACCCCAGACAACCAATAACCAGGTCTCGACATACAGCGAACACACATAAGCGCCCTTTACTAGGCCCGTATAAAAAGCAATCTCGGATCCCGGTTTACATCTCTATCATTCATACACACTCGCACACTCACTTACTTCTATCTATCTCCCTCCCTCCCTCCCTCCCTACCTATAAACATACATCTCTCCATACACCCCCCTATCCATCAACCACCCACAAATCCTAATAAACAACACCACCAAAGCACACCAGAAACAAGAACCAAAAGCAAGCCCGTAAAAGAAAGATCGAGAAGAACAAAAATGAACACCCTAACACCCTCAACCCTCTACATACTCCTCCAATCCCGGTCCACGCCATCGACATTCCACTGGTCCCTGTACACAACCAACACCCACGGCCCCCTAACCCGGGGCACGAAACACGATCTCACAGACGAAAAAGCTCCTCGCCGACTATGGTCCTATAACAGCGCGCCTGCCAACCTGCTCGAGTCTCAATCGCGGCCGGTCATCGCAGCCGTCAAGGTGGACGTCATTGACGACGTAGAGATGCTGCGGGGCGCGCTGGAGGAGTGTCTGGCTAATGTGCCGCGGACGGCGTATTCGTCGCGGTTTCGGGAGGAGATGAGCTGTCGGGTTTGGGTGAAGGAGGCGCTGTGGGGGCTTGATCAGGGCGGGTTCATTGATCTTGGGGATCGGGGGAATGTGTCGGGCATTCAGGGCGTGGAGAGGGAGGTGGTTAGGGCTGGGTTGGTGGCGATGTGGAGGGGGGTTTTTGGGGTGTATGAGTTGGGTGAAGAGGGTCTTGGGGTGAGGGAGGTTGGATAGCTGGTGGTTGGTTGTTTATGTGTTACTTTATTGTACGGTTTTGGGGTTTGTGTTTGGGTGCTTCGAGTCTGAAGTTTTTTTTGGTGGTGATGTCTCTTACTAGTCGTAGTACATTTCACGGATGCTATGCCTACTATGACCTTTTAAGAAATGGAGAGACCACTACAGGTTCACACCTGTAATCCCTCCTAGGAGAAACTTTTTTTTTTTTTTTTTGTTTTGAATTCTCACTTTCCTATTTTTTGACATTCAAATCAAATTACATCGGGGCCATTTTAAACCTAAATGCGAGGACCGAAGGATTTCGTCTCGTGTCATTTCCCGCAATCCATATCACGTCACTTTCCAGGAAGAGGCATCGTAAGGGTTTCTTCAAGATTCTTTTCGTTTTCGACCTTTCAGTGGACCGGCGTTGGGGTGTGCCGGTAGAATACCCCCCCGCTATGAGACTGACTGTATTTATTTGCCGCCAAGGCTGGGGAAGTTCTTCTCGTCCACGGTGACAGGAGCGCTGCGCTCAGTACGCTCAGGGCGGGGACCGCTGCCACGGCCACCACGGGCACCACGTCCGCCACGGCCACCACGGCCACGGGGACCGCTGGTGCCACGGGGAGCCTCAACGAAGCGCATGTCGACCTCAAGGACGTTCTTCTCCTTGCGAGCCTTCTCACGCTTGGCCTTTTCAGAGGAACCCTTGATGTAGTTCTCATCCTCCTCACGCTTGAATTCCTTGGCGTTGGCCCACTTGGAGTCAGCCTTGGAGCCCTCGTTGGCGGCACGGACGGGCTTGGCGCTGAAGTCACCGGCGGCGGCCTTCTCAGCAAGGTAGTCATTATACGACTTGGCCTTGTCAGCAGGCTCGGCCTCCTCGGCGGGAGTCTGGGGCTCGTTCTCGTCGGCCTGGGCGATCTTCTCACCGGCGCGCTCATCGTCCAATTCCTTCTCGCCGCTCTGGCCACCCCAGCCCTGGTTCACCTTCTTTCCAGAGTCGCTGCAGTGCCAACACAGGTCAGTTTCGAACGATCCCAATAAAAACCACATCACCGGCAAATATTTCAAGGGTGGGAAGTCTTACGTCTGGCCGGTACGGGACTGACGGTCGTTACGGGCACGTCCGCCACGGCGGGCACCACCTTCCCTCTCATCGGTGGGCTTCTCGCGGTTCTGGTTGCGACCAGCGTTGCGGTCACGGAAAGCTATACGGAGATGGATTAGCCGGAAGACCCGGATAACGCTAATAAAAAAAGAAAAAGAGACTATCACATACCGGCCTCATTGCCAGAGACGTTGTTACCACGGCGAGAGTTCTGGCCGGCACGGGGCTGGCTGGGAGCCTCCTTGGGGGCATCACGCTTGCCTACACGAGGAGCGGGCTTGTCGATAGCTTTCGTGGGAGGAGCGGGGGGTCTGCTGGGGTCCAACTCGGGATCATTGCCTGAAAAGCGAATCGCGGAAGTACGTTAGATGATGTAATGACTTTTTGACAGCGGAGAACTTGACAATCGCAGCATGAAAGATCCAAAGACAATCCATAGGGCGCAACTCAGGAAGGGTATGTATTACCAAGAAGCTCGTAAAGGTTCTAGATATGAGACATCCGTCAGCATCGCGTTTCACTTTTTTTTTTTCAATTTTTTTTTTTCTTTTTCTTCCTCCCCTCCCTTCACCCAGTAAATTCTTCACTCGAGCACTTTTCATCCCCACCAATTGACTTTCCCATCGATCTGATTTCGAAACCCAAAAGACCAGGGACAATAGTAGCTCCTGAACACCATTCCCGCACGGTAAAAAGCTCTCTCGCACGTACCTTGGACCGGACGTCCGCCATGACGCCTGGTTTTATGAGGGGCCTTCCGGGGAAGGCTCTCCGTTATCGCAGCAATTCGGTACGAAAAAAGGCGGGAGAAGGCGACGAGCAAGGCAGAAACCTATTCGGCGTAGGTATCCGGCCTCTCCTAAATGGATGGTATGGGGAGTTTAAGGGAAGGGGGGTGATCGGGTGGATGATGACTTGAGGAGTTGGAGACAAACGTTTGTGGTTGCTCTGCCCCAATCCGGTAAGGTGTGCTTGCTCGCTAAGCGAATTCGGGTACGCGTGCCGTGATTGGCTGAGGTCTAGGGCTTTAGCCCGGCAATGGCGTCACGCGGGGCTTGCAGATGGCATCATGAGCGATCAACATCAACTGGTCACTGCTCCCTTCGACATCTACGTCACTCTCTCTCCGATGATGATGATCCATGATGTCGTGAACAAAGAATCATACTAAAGTAGTACCGTAGTAGCAGCACAAGGTGGTATTTCTTTCCTTCCTCCAATCATATCCCTTCCTGTCTCAACGTCTCCCGTTAACCCTAATCCATCCATCCATAACATACATACATACATACATCTTCATCCCATAAAGTGAACCATAGACAACGAAGTAATTTTTTTCCTTTTCTTTTCTTGAAACCGCAATACCACAAAAGAACACGACAGGATAAAAAAAATAGAAAAGAAAAAGAAAATTAAAACAGCCGTGCCACCTCATAACCCAGCATAACAATATATGTCCAGAGAATCAAGACTGCTCGGCAGTCCCCTTCAGTAGCTTCACACATATACGCATCATATACACCAACAAACTGTCTTTTGAAACCTCGCAAGCATCTCTTTTTTTGTTCAATCAACAACCAACACAAGCAAATGGTATCAACCGCAAAACGCCGGGCAATGCTTGAAATCACTTTTGTCTTCCGATGCCATGCCGAGGGATGCCTGAACGAAGCCGGATGCGAATTAGAGTAAAAAATCAGTTCTTATCCTTATTTCCCATGGGTATATTTCCTCGACGGATCGTAGACGACTAAAAGGAGAAAAAGGAGGTAGGGGGAAAATTAACAAGGGGTAGCCAAAGTATTGGACCGGGGGTGGAGACGGAAAGTGGTGTTTAGTGACGAGTATTATTCTGTTCGTAGCTGAAGGGGGTCTGGAAGTGCATGCTCGCACTCAGACCAAAGGGATCTGCATCGAGCATGGGCTCATAGTTGCCCAGAAGCTGATTCGTGTTGTTATATGCTCCATTGGATCCTTCTCCCGAATGTGGATTGAATTGTGGCAGATTGTGGTGGCCCATGGAGTGAGAGCCAGGAACCGATGCAGCAGCGTTGAAGCCAGGCACGTATGGCGAGGCGCCCACGGACGACTCATGCTCCTCATCGATCAGGTCGGCCTGAGCGTCATACTCTTGTTCTAGAAGTTATGGTTAGTCATCAACTCGTTACTAAAACCATCATTGGAACGGGGAGGCCTACCAAGCTGATCATAGTGCTTTTGGAATGGCGACGGGTAATACGCTGAGGCGACACGGGGTCCTCGGGGGCCTGCACCACCCGGCAGAGCAGACTTCGGGTCGGTGGTATCAGACTGGGCGACGCTCATGGGAGGCGATGTTTGACTGATATTCCTCGAGTGCGACAGGCGTGAGTGTTGTGCAGCCTGCTGCGGGTCGACTCCAGCTGGGGACATGGCTCCTTGGAAGGCGAACCCAGGTGACTTGGCATGAGACGGCGAGGAGACGTGGGATGGAGGCGTAGCCTGAAATTGGGGAGAGGGGATGCCGTACGCCCCGTCACGAGGCTGTGGCATTCCAAAAGGCTCTCCTTTGGGTGCAATTCCAGTGGGATGCCTTTGAGCAGAATTTCGGTTCATCGCTGCACGCTCCAAGGATGATGGGGGTTTCCCCGCCATGGGGTTGGGCTTCGGACCCCCTGGAGCGCCGGCCTTCAAGCGCAGTTCTGCTTGGACATCGATCCCTACGTATGGTTAATCCATGTTTTGTTTTACTTTCTCTGGTTCATTGATATGTTTCACAGAGGACCAGACAGGATGACGAACCTTTTTCAAGTAAGATGCGTTCCAACAGGGAGTTCTTATATCGCAGCATCAGGCACTCATCGGCGGCCGTGCGATGGTTCTGCTGCAAAGTCTGCAGGGACTCTTCATTGCGCTTGATAGTAGACTCGAGCTGACGGATGTACTCGGTGCGACGTTCACGGAAGGCAGCCTGGGCCTGACGGTTGCGTTGCTTCCGTTCCTCAGAGGTCGCATAGATCTAAGACGAAGGTTAACTTAAAAGAAGCTTAAACAAATAAGCCGGGCGATCATGACGATAAGGGTAGCGGATCAAGATCAAGATAAGCCAGCATAGGTGAGTGACATTAACAATAAATGAATAAATAAATAAACAAAAAAAAGGTACAGGGATGGGCAAAGATAAGAGAAGCGATCGATCAAATCAGAAACATAATGGGCGATGATAATGATAACCGTAATGCGGGGCCCCGGATTGCCATCACACACACCACATGGCGGGTAAAATGAAATAAAATAAAAATGTAATAAAAAATAAAATAAAAGGGAAAAGGGAATAGATCTTACGTACAGGTTTTCTTCCACCCTTTCGTTTCTGCGTCTGGGCCACATCTTGCGTTAAGATCTCGCCTTCAGCCTCGGGGGTTGATACCGCTGAACTGATCGAGCCTCGAGTACAGCGGGTTCAGTTTTAGGGACAACCGTATCCATGGCGGTGTCATTTGGATTGGGATTGGAGGTTTCAACCATAGAGACCATTGGTATTTATTTGAGGGGAAGTATATCTTTCCCCTTGACCTCCAAAGAAAAAGAAAGAGATAAGTAGTGTCCCTTTTGCGTGTATTGGGATACACACGGGGCCTTGGGAAATAGAGTAGTAGAAAATGTTTAACAAAAAATTTCGTAACTGATATCCCAAGTGCCGACCCCCGATGATGGCGGACCCTTCTTTTTTTTTTTTCTTGCCCTTGTTCACCCAAAACCCTCAAGGTTGATAGTAGCCGCCGGAAAAATAAAATCCAAAATAAAAATAATTCAAGATTTTTTCCGGCGGGGTGATTGATAACTTCAAGCGCAAGAAACGCGCGGCTAGGGAGTTAGCAGGGACGTGCGAATAAGGCCAGAAGTTAGCAAGAGGGCCAGCGGAAGGAGTGACATAAAGAAAATTGACGATGGATAAAGAGATAACCAGAAGGTAGACAAGTAAGAAGGAGGAAGGGGGCTGAAGGTGGGAAGATGTGAGGTAAAATTATTTACTAAAAAAATTGGGCAAACGAACAGGATGTTAATAAGAAGGGGGGGAAAAAATTAAAAAGGAAAAAGAAAAAAAGAAGAAAAAGGAAAAGGCGGCCTCGGGAGGGCCCAGAGTGAGAAAAGAGGAGGAACTCCAACCAAGAAAGAAAAGAGGGTCAGACGGTTTGAGCGTAGAAACTTCTCTTTTAGGCTTAAAGCCAGGCAGAAAGAACAAAAAAAAAAGCGGCCAACAAAAAATCCACGTTATTGACTGGACACTGAGGGAGGGGGAAAGACAACTAGTCACAATCAAACAGGAACAATAAAAAGAAATAAAATAATACGATTTGCCCCGTCAGCGTCTGACATTCTTTTCCTTTCTTTTTCCATTTCTTCTTTTTTAATATAATTGACTTTGATCGCCTCCCTCACCGGGGAGATAGTTAGAGACCAATCCTTCCTCCCAAATGTCATGGGGTACAAGTACATCATTCAATCGAGATCCTCCGTCGACTTACGATCTCTCTAGTAGATACTGCGGAGGGATGGGGCCTACAGTTCGTAGCTGACTCTGTCCACCATGATCTCATCGCCGGGGGGTAAGGAGTTTTACTCGAATGCAAGAGGTTGCCTGTTCCCTGCCTCTTACCTTCCCTTGTTCTTTCATTTTTGCCCCCTTCTTCTCCCTCTCTTTCCTATTTGTCTCGACGTCTCGGCAACGGCACCAAAGGCGCTCCACTCCCAAGAGGTCGGACACTGCCGAAGATCCGCCCTCCGTCCAGACAACGAGACTCGTCAGTGCCTCCGTCACTCACGTTTCCCCATCCAGGCAACGGGTGGAGAGTAACAGTGCATGGCTTCCTCCTTGGAACGTGCTTCGTTCACTGGATTCTCGAAGGCTGGGCAAAGAAAAAAAAATAATACGAAACACACAAATGAGAGGGGGAAAAGGTATGCCGGAGGAATGATACTGTCCATCCCCCATCCCCATCCCATGCTTAGCCCTTCTAAGTTCTTTCCTCGTTCGCATCTGGGATCCCGTTCGAACTAATGCCGATCCCAAACCCTGGGAAATCAAACTGGCCTGGAGAAAAGAGGGGCGCGAGATTTTGGAGACGTGCATCCGAAGTCATGCGATGGATCAGAATTTGCAGCCCCCGGAGTCCCTGTTCGAGCGCCAGGAGCCAGGAGATGAGTCGATGGAGTTACGTCGTATTCTGTGATTCACAGTTTTTGGGGCGTCGTCGAATCGAGTCACGTTTTGCCCGCGGAGAAGGATCCCTTGTCACCTGACCTTCGTCTAGGTTTCCCACCGGCGTAGTACTTCTCATGTAATTACTCCCTCAACTATTGACCTTGGCTGTTGGAGATGCACCGTCATACTTCACATCCCAGACATCCCAGACCTTTTTCTCATGCCTCCCGGCGTTCGTTCGGCCTTGGCAAATTCTTCTCCATCCCAGGACTCAGGAGGATTTTGGAACTGTGGTTCGGTTTGAGATTTCTTTCTCTCTCCCCCTCAAAAGGACATACCATCCCCTTTCTTCCCAAGTTCCAACCGGTGTCCCTGTCCAGTCTGGAAGAAGTAAAACACCGGGATCAGCCGACGCGGTACCAACAGGCCGACTCCACTGTGATCGTTGACAGTCCAGTCAGTCAGTCATACGACGTTCATTCCCCATAAGAAACAACAATAGCCGAAACTTAAATCCCACTATTTCCCACCATGGTTGGGCTATCGATGGCGTTTCGAGAACGTGGCCATCAGGAGAGGTTCGTTAACTATTCTGTCTTGGCGGAAATAGTTCTGGATTGTCTTCACGAAACATCTCATGAGGATGACCCCATGTGGATTTGTTTCGACCATGGCTCGATTGATGTCCTTCAAACAACCAAGGAGACTCTCATACGGGTGGTACCTTGGAAAATAAAATAGGTGTAGATCGGAGATTGCCAGCCAAGATGGACTCCTAACCTGGCGCAAAAGTAGACGTAGGATCGAACAAAAAATAATCAAAGAATTCCTTGGCTGACTCCAAGTAAACCGGCGCAACAACATCGCTGAACAACCATCATATCATTAAAAAGACATCCTCGATATATGTACAATCTATCCACACCTCCGACGAAGCCTACCGTACCTTCTTCAGCTTATTCCGCTTCCGCCCTAACACATCGCGGCCCTCCTCAATCTCTCCAGTAGCTTCTCGTTTAGCTTCCCCAACTTCCTTGAGCACGCCACCGCGCACCACCCGTCCTTCAATGCTGACGCCCTCCTCGCTCCATTCTTCCATCTGTCGTTCTACTCGCTCCTCGATCGCTAGCACCAGTTGTACGTCTCGTTGTCCAACTAGGGTAACCGCTTCACCTTGCCGTCCCGCACGAGCGGTACGACCGACACGGTGGACATAGTCGTCCGGATTGCGCGGTACATCAAAGTTGATCACCAGACTGACCGACGGGATATCCAGACCACGGGACGCGACATCGGTCGCTACCAGGACCCGGGCAGCGGAAGCACGGAAACGCGCGAGGTTAGAGTTACGTTCGGACTGGGGTAGAAGACTATGTAGTGAGGTGACTCGATGGGAGAGGCGGCGAAGCATCCGCTCCAGCAGATCGGCGGTCTTAGTATGATTGCAGAAGATGATAGCCGGCTTAGTGGAGTTCCCTTCTGTAGACAAGAGCACGTGTAAGAAGGCCTCGCGGTGCGTCATGGGGACCTTGAGGTAAGTTTGTTTGAGCGTTGGAGGGATTGTGCCTTTATTCTCGGTCGAGATCTCAGTAACAAAGACCGGCGGTTTGTTCTCAGCTCTAGGCATGGACTTGAGAGCGCGCACTTCGGGGGTCAATGTTGCGGTGAACAAGAGCGTTTGACGTTCGCTGGACGGTGGGAGAGCGGATAGACAGGTCTCTACGTCAGGAAGCATGCTTCCGGGACCAGGAGCCAGAAGTCGATCGGCTTCATCAAGAACGACCATGCGGACGCGCTTCAGTCCACGCACCGTATCTTCACCGGATGTATTGATGTGGTCTGCGAGTCGACCGGGTGTCGCAATCACAACATGGGGCCGCTGCGAGAGAGCAAGCGCTTGAGATCGCATATCTGTTCCTCCGGTGATCAAAAGTGGCTTCATGCTCTGAGGTGCCGAGATCGCCTTGATTTGTTCGTAGATCTGCAACGCAAGCTCTCTAAAAGAAAAACAATCAGCATCGTAGCCTCTAAGAAAAGATTTCAGTGACTGGCAACGTACCTTGTGGGAGTTAGGATAACTGCGAAGATGCCAAACGGATCTTCCGCCCATTTCTGCAAGATAGGCACCGAAAAGGCAATTGTCTTTCCGGAACCAGTCCGGCTACCTCCAATGCAATCTCTCCCCTTCAGAATCTCCGGTATACAGGCTTTTTGAATGGCCGTGGGCTTTCTAACCGCCATAGTCGTCAGGGAGCCCACCAACCACGGCGAAACATTGAGGGCTTTGAACGAAGACTCCTCATCCTGCAGTCCAATTTCAAGGGCATCACGAATCAAGACAGGGTTGTCATTTTCCGTGGTTGTGGCAGGCTTATCATCTTTTGCTTCCTTCTTCTTGATACGAGAGAGGGTGGGGAGCGGCGCCGGAGCAACGTAGGAGTCCACTGAAGACTCCGATAGGCGTCTTCTTTTGGGCGCGCGATTTTGCAGCTCCGTTTGCTCAACGTCTGAGGAGTCTGAGGGCTCGTGAGAGCCGTCTGATACGGGCTCCGGGGAGCGAGAGGGCGCCATTGTTATCTGTTCAAATCTGTTGGCTTTTCTGCGTGCTTCATGAAATTCTTCTAAATTTTGCGGCAGAAAAAGTTGACCGCGCAAAGGCGGTGTTCCCACATGGATCAAACCAATCAAGTTGTCTAGTCTTATCGATAAGATTCAATTCCCGAAAGGGAAATTAGTGTGATATCCCGTACAGAAGTAGTGTAGTATACCTCTGTCTTTCTCTACTTTCAAGAAAGAATACTAGTTAACTATTAAGGGACTATATACAACAGCTGATCCTACTCTCGAGCACAGGAAAGTCAGATCGAAATTCACTCCTTCGCATGTGTTGTTACGCTCTGAGTACTCACTCCCACACAGCGCTGACAAAGTAGCCGTATTCATCAGCTATTGTCCTGTTGATAATTGACTTTGACCTTAGAGAAGGGGAACCGATACAGACGTGACAACTACACCACAAGCTGCTTGTAGCTTGAGGCAGGGGCAATAATTTTGTAGGGCCCACACCAGTCTTGGTAGACTGTGATCATTACTTTAGCCTCAAAGGTTTTAACCAGATCAAAGTTTTACTTCCAACCTCTAGGCGGTGCATATGCCAATGATAATGGTTGCCATTGCCAGGGTTAAGGGAAATGATCCTATTATTCTGACGACTACCGGATACACCACAGCTGAGTTGTTCGAGAGTCTGACGGTGAATCCGATAGTTCGTCTTGAGTATTGTACAAGTGCAGCGCGTGAAGTACGAAGGCAGTCGTAAGGGCATCTTGTTTGTTTAGGGATACCATAGGGAGGTGGCCAAGCACCCATATAGAAGTTGGATTTGAATCCACGATGAAAAACTCATGAATGTCTTGGTAAGCTAAATAAAAGAGAAGAGAGGAGAAGTTCGTCAAACTGAAGTTCCTGTCACTGAACCCAGGGCAAGGATAGATGTTAATGAAGTCAATACACTGTATGGGGCTTCCAGGAAAGTTGACTGCTTCCCCTATGCATACAAACGTGTAAGTAGTGGTTCCGGCAAAACCGACCATTTCTTGCTACTGAGATATGGTAGCTAACAGGAATGACGCATTTTAACATTGGTCCTGAATAGCGAGTTTGGTCATAATTCGATGGGCAAACCCATTCTATCTGCAAGGCTGTGAAGAAACGTAGCGGGTGAAGATACACGGGATGGCATGCTGCTGAGCCTTCTTTCCAATCTGAACAGATTCGAGTAAATGATAGAAAAAAGTGCTGTCTGTACTGCGGACGGCCATGAACACCATACTCAGATACTTGGGTGTTCGAGAACTCTGCCAATGCCATCAACCGTAGAAGTGGACGACGTTTGTCGTTTTCCCGTTTGATGATGCGTCACGGGGGTTCGTCATCTCCGTCCACTCGAATCACCCGTACAGGCTACATACTACAGAGTAGAACAATTCGATTATATCCTCTTTCCTAACCAACGCACTGGCAATCTTGAACAGATGAGAGTCGAGAATTTTTGTTCCCCCCATTGCTCTTTCCATTGACTTTAGAGATCACGACGTAATGGAGTAAGTCTGGTATCGATTTCGCGGAGCCCGTGTATGTTGATTGGATCCCACTGAGTCCCATTGATATATGCACCTTGAGAAAAGGAAGAAGAAAAGCTCGGCCAGAGAGGATTATGAAGGGAAAGAGAAAGCTGTGGGAAAGGAAAGAGTCTGAATAGTGAAAAGGATGGGATTCATGAATAGGTGCAAACTTCACATATGATGCCAATTCTGACATGGTATTCATCTGGGTATCGGGAGTAATGTGGCTGTGTGCTGCAGGTAATACCGTCAATGTCATTAACTGTGATCTTTCTATTAAAGTAAGTCCTCTAGGCAAGCCATTGCGCTGATGGGTCCATTCATATATGCTTCTTTTTGGAGATATCTCTGCCAATGTCACTTAGTTAGATATAAGGTACATGCAACTGCTGTTAAGAACACGAAGAATATGCATTCCAGACGCTTACAGAAGATAAGTATGAATTAGCGAACTACTATGAAGAGGCCGGCGACCTCAGCAAACTACAAAATACAATTGTTAGTAGAAGTAATGCCCCTCGCCCTGTTATCAAACTAAGCCGGTTTTCCACATTTTCCCTAGCTTGCACCTAACACGACAAAATAGGCCAAATACGACACTGTATCTTTTTAAGCGGGCGGGGGAGGAGGAGGTTGCTCGCTCGGGGGCTATAACGAAGGTCAGCAAGGCATTCACCTAGATCATATAGGTCCAAGGGAACATACAGGAGGTGGTGGTCCTTCACCAGGAGGAGGGGGTGGGGGTGGTGGGCTGCCACCGGAGCCGTAGTACATAGGCGGCATGCCCGGTGGAGGAGGAGGAGCTCCCATGCTAGAAGAAGCCCCGGGAGCGCCCATGCCCGGAACGGGAGGAGCGTATCCGCCATAAGAGCCATAACCATACGCAGCCTGCCCACCCGGAGGGGGCGGAGGGGCCTGCTGCTGCTGCTGTTGCTGCCAGGGTGCAGCGCCAGGGGCTCCGTAGCCACCCTGCGAGCCATATCCATAATCGCCTCCACGGCTACTCTGAGCCCATGGGGGTGCGCTTCCCTGGTCACGCGATCCATAGTCATCACGGGAGCGGTTGTCTCGGCCTCTCTGTTGCCAAGGAGCCACATCACTGGGCGGTGGCCCACGCTGCCACGGCTTCGCATCACGGTCGTCGTAACCCTGATCGGGACCAGCTTCGATGCGGCGAGGGATGTGGCCATCTTCACCTGGAGCTCCTCCCGACAACTCTTGCATGAGTTGCTGAAAAACAGTGTCAGTATATATCCTTGATTGATAAACTCAAGGGCAAGATGGCACTTACCTCCATTTCACGGTCGACAGCGTCGCCGCCACCAATAGCCCTACGGCCTCCAGCACCAGCGTAACCACCATTGTTACGCCAGTCGGTGCCTCTCTGACGGTCAGGACAATCACGGGCCATGTGACCAGCGTTGCCACAAACACGACAGATGATGTTGGCGGTAAAGTTGCGCTGTTCTGGACAGTCATACTTGCGATGTCCAATTTGGCCACCTGAAAAGAGTCAGAAAAACCGAACAAGTTGCAGCGCACAGATGTACTTACAATTTTGGCAAGCCTGATTCTCATCATCACGCAGAGTACCGTTAAGAGCGGCAAGCTCTCGAAGCTGGTTCCGCTTGAGCTCGTTCTGACCCTCGGGAATTGAAGCAGCCTGTTCATTATACTTAGTAATCGATTGACATAGAATGAGATAGGGAACAACGTACCGTCTCAATAACGTTATGCACCAGTTTCTTTGCCTTGTTAACCTTTTCTTCAGTGTCTGCCATGATCAAACAATGGAGGTCTTCTTCCTGGTTGCTAGCGTGAGCGGCGTCAGAGCGTCCCTTTCCTTCCTTGACAGAGCCCTTGCCACGAATAGCAATTTTGGCACCGGATTCGGTTTCCATCTTCTTCAAGGTATTACCACGAGGTCCTATGAGTAAGCCAACTTTAAAAGGTAGCAGAAAGCTAAGTGTTAGTTCAAGCTGTTATTAGAAAGAAATGGGAGAGCAACGGTAAAATGTTCAACATCACGCATCAAGGGTTAGCAAGAAGCGAGCCGAAAAGGCACCGACGGGCGATGTCTTTCTTACGAGCCCGACTCGAGCAAAGAGTCACGAAGTACACAACACAGGAATGGTTAGGAGTTAGAGGGTTAGTTATCATACTGAAGTTAATTTCTGGATAGTCATTCACTGGAACGTAGACCTTCTCCTGAGTCTTGGTAGGACGTCTGTAGTCAGAAGGCGGGTGGTAGTTAGGAATGGTCTTCATGGCCTTCTCGACGAGCTTGTGCCGCTCATCCTCGAGGCGCTTCCGGTAACGGTATTCCCTAGTGTTTACACGTCTGCCAAAGTTATCGTACTGCGGAGGGGGTGACGGAGACCTGTAATTCGAAGATGGATTAGCTATGCTGAGATGATGAGGCGAAAGGGGTAGCGTACCTGTCACCATCCGCTGGGACGACATCGTTGATACGAAGCTTTTGGCTAATCTCCTCAATACGGAGATGAAGCGTATAAGCTTCAAGCTGCTCATTGGTAAAGTTTGCCATGATCATCGTGGGCAAGCCCATGAGACCGGCAGCCTTGTTCTCTTGCGCATCGCCCCAACGGTTGCGCTTCTTGCGCTTCTTGACCCCGTCAGCTGGAGGGTCAGCTAGAGCAATAGTAAGCATCTCCACGTATATAAGTTAATAAGAGGTTAGGGGTGAAAGCAACATACCCCGAACAGGACTTCTGCCACGCTTGTGCTCCCCGACAGACGAAGGAGTTGCTGTGCGGCTCTCCTCCTCTGCGGGATCATCACCACCAAACCGTCTCCGGCCCAGAGGGACGTTGTTGGAGCCTGTGACTCCTTGATTACGCCAGGCCATTTTCCCTGGACTTGCGCTGCAAATGAAGTTAATCTATTGCCTTGCGATGTGAGTAACAGGGTTAGTGGCTATTAATGGAAAATAATAATGAGAGTGAAAAAGTAAGGTGATATCAAGGCGGACTAGCAGGAGAGGTGGCAAGCTTTTGTATCCACGTGAGATGTGATGACTAAGCATTAGGAGCTTCCATGGAGGAAGAATAATGACGAGAGAATGGCTTTACATGATCATAATGATTTCTGTTCACATCGCTAACATAGACAAACTAATTAAATTATCAACTTCGCGAGTCACATTCTGCCACAAAATCGTATCGTTTAGTGCTTAGCGTCCGCTTTCATGCCCTGCACAATCCACTCCCGGGCTTTAGCCGCCTCCTCTTCGATAGTTTTCTGGTCCTTCAGGCGCTCCTTGATAGTATGAGGCGATGGAACATGGCGACCCTTCTCGACGCCCTCCCGAGCAGCCATACGCTCCTCCCACGCCTTCAGGTGCGGGAACTCTTCAATATCGACACCGGCCCATCCAGCAGACGCAACCCATCCCCAGTGCGAAATATCCGCAAGCGAGATGTGGTCACCGACGAGGTATCCTGACTTGGAGTTGGCAAGGTGCTGGTCGAGAACGCCGTACAGTCGCCTCGTCTCGTTGGTATACCGAGTCATGCCGTACTGGATGCGCTCGGGTGCATAGCGCACGAAGTGATTTGCCTGGCCTTGCATGGGGCCCACGCCAGCGTTCTGGAAATACAACCAATTGGTCATCTCGTAGTATTCGCGGGTACCCTTAGGGTAAGAGATCTTGTAGTCCTTGTCATATTGCTCGGCAAGATAGGTGAGAATGCCGCCAGATTCGAACAGACGGATCTTTTGGCCATCAGAGAAGGTGTCGGTCAGGGCCGGAATACGGCCATTGGGGTTGATCTCAAGGAACCAGCTAAGTGGAATTAGCCATGCTCCTGTTAACTTCCACTTTCTGGCTAGAAGGTCACATACGGCTCTTTCTGGGTATTCTTGCTTATGTCAATGTTCTGCACCTTATAAGGAAGTCTAAAATTCGCATCAATTAGTTCACCGGTTCTAAGAATGATGGGGTTGGATTACAAACGCACCCCAGCTCTTCCAGCGCAATGGAGATCTTGATTCCATTGGGAGTCTGGCAGGTGTACAAAGTGATATCGGGTTGGCTCATCTTGGTTGAATATCTATGGCGAAAGCTGGTCAAATGATTGGGGCGGCTGTAGCGACAAATAAATGAAACTGAGGGACGAAAAGAAACCGACGGGACAGCCGGTATAAAAAGCATCGTCAGGGAACTCCATTGATTAGTTATTGACCCCGCGGATGGATGATTAATAGGGAATCAATGATGCCATGGCCTGTCAAAGCTTCGGCCCCACTTTGATCTTGATTTCTAAGCTGTCAAATGTGTGCTTCTATAGTTCTACGTCAAAAGGTTCCCCATGTGCGCGGCCTTTCCGCCCGAATTATTAAACTGACCTAGCTTTCTAAAACAGCTACTATTCTTCCATTTTCTGAGAATTTTACTAGTAAATTTACATGTATACTAGGGATAGACCTGCGGCCCCATCCGGCTGGACCGCAGCTCAAGTCAAGCAGAGCGCATTATTTTAATACGAGACTTCTAGACTCCAGACAGCAGTCCTATTCTGTCGGGTTACAACAAGACCTTTTATAGTAAAAGGATTATATAATCTAAGAGGAATTTAATTAATTTAAATAGTTTAAACAACTCAAGCAGTTCAAGCAGTCAACGCAGTGGAAGTAGTTAAAGTAATATAAGTAGTCGAGCATCTACAAAGGATGGGCCTCCTTTGACTTGTACCGGGAAAGCAGCGTCTCCCTCCGGAGCGGTGGTGGCATTTCAGGAGCAGTGGCAGTGGAGACATACGCAGAATCCCGCATCCAGTCCGACTGGGGCCGTGTACTGGTCAATCTTCCGGCTGGTGCGGTCGACAGCCCGTTTGAGGGTACCTCTGAGGGACGGCGTGCGGACGACAAGGTCAGCACGGCGGAGAAGGATAATATCCCACAGCCGCTCACAGAGAGCCCCGAGGGACTCATTGAGGTTGGGACAACCACCCGCGTTGGGACCAAGATGCATTTGAAGTTTGCGTCCCCGGAATTAACCTGGGTGATGGAGGATGGAACAACATGGCAGCCCGAATCATGTGCAATGGGTGCGCCTGGATCATCACTTGGATTCTCTCACAGGCTCCATGGGCCGGGGCAACGACCAATGTCGCCCAATTAATAAGTTATGAGCTCGGAAGCCGGGACCAAGGCCGCCTCGCTGTCTTCCTTACCGACTCCAACTGGATGAAGGGGGCCATCGTCAAGGGCTCTTCCCCAATTCAGGCCTCTCGGGTGGGATAATCTGGACCCTGACGACGAGCAGTTGGCATATCTGAAAGAGCTGGGAATGCTCTTCGGTTGTTGGAACCATCCCAAGGTGTGGCACTCGTTCTGTGACAGCTACAGTGGGATGCGCGACGTACTGCTTCAGTTTGATAATTGGTACACTGCCAACCGGGGGCCCAGCGATCTCGTTGGGAGTGGAAGAAGTTTAACCAGCTCGAACTCAAGCGGATTGTCGAGGAAGGGAAGGCATCGGCGCAATATCTCAAGGAGAGTCGTAAGCCGGTGCCGGGCTTCTGGGGGTGGTGGTGGACGCTCAAATGGCAGGGGGCTGTTTACCTATTTCCCGGGGAACTTTCTGTATCAGTCTGGCACGATCAAGCTGGATCAGACCTGCGTGAATTTGCAGTAGCCAGTGACGAGTCCTGGACGGGTCGTTCAGTCAGCTCATCTAGATCTAGCAGCGAGACATGTACATCTGGGTGTCTCCCCCGCCGTACATAGCTTATATTTTGACCGTATGGGAAGAAACGTACAAAGTGTAATTATCCGAGGTCCGCCAAATTCTCACTGTTGAACCCTCATCAGGGGGTTGAAGTCGTAAAGGGCGAGGAGGATTGGGGAAAAGTTAATAGTTGGTGGAGTGGCTGCTAAGCCTAGACGAACGCTAATAGCGCCATGCCGCCCAACATATAAAGGTGCATGCCACCCGCCGCGTCTCTTTCTCTCTCTCTCTTTTACGCTCCTTCTTTTTATAGATCAAGTCACCGTTATGGGCGCCAGCTGGTCATCAGACCACCCTACTGATCTAGAACAGCACCCCGATCCACCCAGCCAGTCCAAATACCCTCGATATGGGGATGTGGTCCCTTCGGTCTGTAGCGACCGCCCAGAGGACTTGTATGATGAGCTGTATGAACAGATATACTTTGTACAGCATGCTAACCAAGAATTTATCGTGGCCTTTCAACGATGCGAGAAAGAAAATCCCCGTGTTGATCCCGAGGAGTGGTTTACTATTGCTGAGCGAATCCCACGGGTATATGAATATCTGGCACACAGTACCAGTGCCCCGAATGTGGATATAGACCAACCGATTGATCTTCATCCCTATATCGTTAAGTGAATAAACCCTCCCTGTCTGCTTATCTCTTTTAATCACCACTAAAATACCACAATTTTATATGGGGAGTAGATATCTTGGCCGTCTCCCTGTAGGATATCTGCTGGAGAAGCTAGATCCCGGCCCACTGAGCGCTACGACTCTGCCACTTCTGACTACCTTTCCGCGCATGTCTTCCGAGAACAAGGACTTTAGAGAGCCTCTTCTGCTCCTCTACTACCGCTGGGCACTGCAATCGCTTACTATACTAGCCTTCTTACATAAACACAGGGTCTACCTGATGGATTTCAGCTCGAGCACCATATGGATACGCGATGATCTCTCGATTGCACTATCAGGATTTGTGAACGCAACTATCCCGACAGATGAATGGCCTTACTCTCCCGACGGGACGAGATACGAAGAAGAGATCTATTACCCAACCAATCCCGAGAGTGGGCACCCAGAGCTCAGTCCGAAGATCGATCTCTCGGATTGGGCGACCTTTGTCTGGCAATTGATGCGAAAGGATGCGTCCAGTCATAGAGCGAAGAGGTGGGCGATGCCTACCGATCCATTGGATCCGACAGAGTTGCCCGGGGAGGTGAATGTATGGGAGTACCATAAGCAACGGCTGAAGGAGGGCAAGCTACAGCTTTTAGAAGAGGCACGATTGGGTCCGATGCTGGTTAAGGCCTGGAAGGGGCAATATGAAAATGCTCAGGAGATCCTGCAAGAGATACGATCATATCTCCAGCAGATTGGGGTTCAGATGGACGGAGAGGATGAGGTCCTTCTAGATGATGGGCGAAAGTGGGAGGATGTATTCACGGTAGTCCAGACAGATGGCGCCCGCTGGGGTCGGGAGATTAGATATAAATAATAAATAATATCTATGGGTCCATCGCTCGACTACCTAGCTGAATATTCTAGATAATAAAGTGATGAAATTTAAGATATATTATAAGAGTGACTATAAAGCTTACTGGTTTAGGACTTGACAACGAAGCCCCGAGCGTAACAACCACCTTATATACACCCACTATCTTTTCAATTTGGCTAGAAAATAACTTTTCTGTCTATAAGCTCTCTAGCCCGAGTACTTCGGTAAAGTTAAGCTTGAAGGACAAGTTTAGCATATATAATTTATAACAGCTGAACCGGTTTCGTTAAAGCTCCCTTGGCAGTATTCCTCAAGACCGACAATAGAGAATCTCTGTATATTAGATTCTACCTTGGTAAGTTTATCAGAGACTCTCTGAATTTAGTTTTTTTTACTTTATCTACTGTATTTTCTATTACTCCTGTTATACTATTCATAGTGCTGTTTCCTGTATTCTGTGTAGTGTTGCTCATATTGTACAGAGTTAATAAATATCTAAAGTAAATTCTGCTACTGCAGCTAAGGAATCATTCAAGACTGATTGTGATAAGATAAGTTCCCCACAACGTAATCAGCGGAATTATCAAGGGCTTCGTTCCGCATAACAGTTCCAGCACCTTCGGAGGAAGCTCGCAGATAGGTAAGCACTAGTCATGCACTGCAAGAGCAAGTTACAGCGGGAACTAAGGCACAGATCTAGAGTCTAATGAACGGCTACACTGACATTGAGATGAGCAGTTGAAAAACAAAATGCTACGTCAAAAACACAACCACACCGTATATACCACCCTATCGCCAATAAAAGTAACCAGCCACGAACGAAGATACATATTTTTTTTGTGTGTATATACCCTGAGAGAATTCCCCACGTATGTCTGCAGAGAAGGTAGAAACGGAAGATGTAAGAAAAGGAACGGGCAGAACACACGAGACTCTGCTCAGCCATTTTGTGTATCTACCATGTGAAACTCTCCTCGATGTAGTCGACCTGCGTTTGGTTCTGTCGCTTGCGGCAGACTCGCCGGACGTCGTCACTAAGACCACCATTTCCACAAACAAGCACACCCATCGCACCCACTTGGGATTCAACCTCCATTCCGAGAAGAGTGTCGATGTTTGGTCGGCCGGGGAACATCTGAACGGTGGAGCTTGGGCTTTGGATTTCTTTTGTGTTGCGGGGACGGGTGACGAACAACATGATACGCAGAACCTCTCGGCGGCGATCCATGGCCAAGATGCTGGTCATCCATGGGCGAATCCATTCGAGGTGTTCTGGGGATTGAATGATCCAGACAAGAGTCACGCGACGTGCCGCAACGGTGCCCTCGGCATAGCCCTGGACCAGGTGGCGCACAAATGGTACTTGGTGGGTGATTCCAACACCGCCCGCAAACAGAACAACTGTACCGTAGGAGTCCATGGAATGAATACTGCCATACGGTCCCTCGGCGAAAGCTCGCAACGTGACTTGACTGTTGGGAGAGCTCAGGGCCCGTTGGAACAGCTTGTCAGTAAAGCCGGTCCGACGACGAACCAGCAGGGATAAGCTGGTGTGCTTTTTGCCGAACATATCTTGCCGAGTCACGGGAAGTCCCTTCTCATCACTAACGAGCTCTTCCGCCTCGCTCCAACCAACGGAGAACGGGTGCGAAGACCACCATCCAACGGTAGGAATGTACAGATAGATGTGCTGGCCCGGCTTGAAGGTCCAAGGCCGCGCCATCCTCAGTGTGATTCTCATGGCGTCCCCAGGAAGGGCCTCCACCAAGGCGGTAGTGGATTTCCTGCCACAGTTGCGGTACAAAAGGATAGCAAGTCTCGAAGCTCGCTCGAGAGCCCAGAAAATGATGGCAACGAGCAAGTATGTCTGTGCCGGAAGCCCATTGAGATGAACCCACAGGAAGCCCATTGAGAGCGCAGCCATGATAATGTGCAGGTGGAGGAAAGTTTCATAGAATGCGTGGCGGATGGGAGAGGGGGAATGCACCACGAGAC